CTGCTGTTCTCAATGACTTACATTCCGTTCATCTTGACATTGAAAAGATGAAATCTTTTGCTCGTCTCTCATGCTGGTGGCCTGAATTAAATCATGATCTGAATTGTGTTGCAAAATCTTGCGCTACTTGTGTGCACAAAACTCATAGACAGCCTGTGAAATGGACTCCGTGGCCAGTATCTTCCGAGTCATGGCAAAGAATACATGTGGATTACCGTGGTCCATTCTTCAACAAGTATTACGCATTGGTGATCGTCGATTCCTATTCCAGTTGGCCAGAAGTGTACTTTATCACAACTCCCATTTCAGAATTTACTATTCGAGCACTCAGGGAAACGTTCAGTAGAGAAGGTGTCCCGCATGCTATTGTGACTGACAATGGAAATCATTTCACTGCCAAGAAAGTTACCAATTGGTTGAACTTCGTGAGTTGTTAGCACGTTCCCACTCCACCCCGACATCCGCAATCCAATGGCGCAGCCGAAAACTCTGTACGCACGCTGAAGAGTGCCATTGCTTCTTTGAATCCCAGTCCATTCGACGAACTGGACAAAGGCGTGGATAACTTTCTCATGCAATACCGTAACACAGTACATTCAACTACGGGACACAGTCCAGCAAAGCTGTTCAAGAGTCGAATACTTCGAACAAATCTTTTACGTTTGGAGTCTGCGGAAGTTGTGTATCATCGTGGTAACTATTTACGACCCTCCAGGGGCATTATACTGGGCAATATGCGACAAAGAGTATGTCGCATATTGGATCTGGATGATGGCACTGTACATCGCAGACATGTAGACCAAGTAATTTGTAATTTGCCCAATTCTGATACTAGTTGTGAACCTACTAATCCTTTTATTTCTGAGTCTTTTCCAGAGGAATTACATCCCAGTAAAAATGTCGAAAACATTACAGAAGAACCCAGAAGATCTGAGTGATTACTCAACATAGCCCGCCGTGATTACAGAAAACCGGAGCTTCATTCAAGCTGCGGCGGATGTGGTGATTGCTCATGAACTATGAGCTCTTTTGTTTTATTGAACACGGTATCCTTGTATATTCTGAATTACCGCTCATTACGGTTCCATTCCGTCGCTGAGTTCTGTCTTCTGATTTCATTTCGATTCCTAGTTCTGGATTGGACTTTAACTGCGCGGAATCCGATACGTATACGAATTACTAGTCCGAGTGCGAAACACAATACTAAGCGTTACCCAAAGTTCACAAAGACGGAATTTCCCGCCATTCCAGGGTTACATCAGTTGCACACAGTCAAGTTCCGAACCTGCTGAATTGGTCCATTCATTAGATAATTTGATTCAAAATAATCCCTGAAGTTTGGTTCAGCACATTTAAATAAACAAACGCAAAACGATGGTTTCTGTTAATGTTGATGAGCTATCCTTATTGGTTCATCTTTACTTAATGATTCGCCTTGAATCAGGGCTTTGGAGAACCGATTTATGACCTCGGTTTTTAATGCTCAGATAGTCAGTACTTTGTATGTTCAGAGTGAATAACCTTCCAAAAGAGGGCCGGAGTTGCGAATCAAAACAATTAGCTTTACATGGTCCGAATAGCTGAATATTTTGCAGTACGATTACCAGAAATGAGTGTAGCATGTTTGTCACCAGCGTCAAAACCCATGAACCNCTCACGATAAGATATTACTGGCGCCGTGGTCCAGCGTTACGACTGCACTAAACTATTCAATGTGTTTAGTGAAATAATGACCTAGCACGGATGAAAACGATGAGCATTTATAGGCACGACACGGCTGTTCTTTCATCAAGGTTTGTCCTGTCGAATCTGTAAGATACTTATCAAAGCATGTAGAACAAGCATAACTTGGTGAGACCAATGTTTTCCAGTTAATCATTCTCAAGCCGTTTACAGATTGTATAGATAACACTCACACAGTTAGACAGAACACCAATCAATAGTTTGTCACTGAAGAATTGGTTTTGGGAATTTGATTGGTTTGATTATCTTACGCTCTCGGGGTTACTGAACGACGGAAGCAATCGGACCTGATCGATCTCGGGCCATTGCATTTGTGTGTCTTCTTACTTCCTTTTTTATTTATTGAATATACACTGTACATACAACTTTCAGGAAGGGGGGCTGCAGCCATACAATGGCCGCC